GCCTCACCTCGCTTCATCTCGCCTCACCTCGCTTCATCTCGCCTCACCTCGCCTCATCTCGCCTCACACCTCGCCTCATCTCGCCTCACCCGCTCGCCTCATCTCGCCTCACCTCGCCTCATCTCGCCGAGGTACACCTCGCCTCATCTCGCCTCATCTCGCCTCACCTCGCCTCATCTCGCCTCATCTCGCCTCATCTCGCCTCATCTCGCCTCATCTCGCCACTCGCCTCATCTCGCCTCATCTCGCCTCACCTCGCCTCATCTCGCCTCATCTCGCCTCATCTCGCCTCACCTCCTGCTCACCTCGCCTCATCTCGCCTCATCTCGCCTCATCGCCCCTCACCTCGCCTCACCTCGCCTCATCTCGCCTCATCTCGCCCCACATTTTTTTCTTTTCTAGACCACTCCGAGACCGACCCAAGACCGACCCGAGACCCGAGATCGACCCGAGATCGACCCGAGATCGACCCGAGATCGACCCGAGATCGACTCGAGATCGACCCGAGATCGACCCGAGATCGACCCGAGATCGGCACGAGCGATCAACCCAACAATGCCCCAGAGCCCCCTCCGGGGGGACCCCCCCTCACCCCGAGTGTCCGTGTCCTTCGCGAGTCACCGATGGGGAGCGGGGGGGGGTGCGAGATGCACAGGGGAGGCTGGGGAGGGGGGGGTCCACTCTGAAGACTGCCGACCGCGGGGGGGTTTTGTCCCACAGGGTTTTACCCTCCGCGTGAGGATCGGCGCGGCGAGGGGGTAGGTTCGAATTCGCCGCGCAACATTTCACCCCCACAGGACCCCGCCCACCCCCCCTCATGGTCCCACCTAGTACCCCAATGAGCCTTCGCACCCCCTCCTTGCGCAGTGTCCCCCACTATGTGTCGCCGTTATCGGGGCACGCTATCCTGTGTAGTCAGGGCAAGTGGGGGCGGGGGGCACTCCCATCTCTCCTGTGTACGGGTGGTGACTGTCTCTAGTCTCGGAGGGGGGCTTGAAGCTAAGAATATTTTATTTTAATCCCAGTGTGAGCGCCTGAAAGGGACAGTAAAGCGCAGAAAATTCTTTTGCCTGTGATAGTGCTAGCTAGCACGCGCCAGTCCGCACCTGAGAGAGATTTTGTTCCGCGGACGAAGAATTCTTTTGCTGCCGCGCAGGAACACTCATTAGTTGTCGGCTGAGGCAGGTTGGCATAGACTCGATCGAATAGGTTTCCCCTAACAGGGCCAACCCGCTGAATGTCGCAAGGCGGCCTCAACCTCGACGCGTTTGTCTCTCAGATTGGCGAGTTTGCGGGCGTGTTGGGCCACGCCGAGGGCACCGAGTGCCAAGATTGGAACAGCGAGGCCGTCGACCGCGCCTTTGGCTGGGCTGACTACGTGCAGGGCTCGGCCGCGCTGCTGGCCGACGACTGCGAGGCAGCGGCAGTGGACCGCTGGCTCGCCACGCAGCAGGCGCAGCACTGGCCCTCCTCGCAGGCATCGGCGTCGACGGCCGCCGCGGCTGCGCCAGCCTCGCGGCTGCTCACGGTCGGCGCGCTGTCTGGGCGTGACGGCGCGGGCGGCGCGAGGGGCCTCTTGCTACGCACGTTGGCGCTCAA